AAAGCGATTCTTCTTAAAGAGGCAAACAGACACAGGAAGTGGTTGTAATACCAAGTTCTTAGACATTGTTCAAATAAGTACAAGCTAGAAAGAGAAGGAATAAATAAAGAGAGAGAGGTTTTTTTTTTTTTTTTTTTTTTTTTTTTTTTTTTTTTTTTTTTTTTTGGAAGTTGTTTTTTTTTTTTTTTTTTTTTTTTTTTTTTTTTTTTTCAGGATTCTTTGATGAATAAAAAGATGCAAAGATCAGCATTTATCTGAAATAAAAAAGCTTTTGTAACACTATACACTATACCATTCAAAAGCTTGGAGTCAGTATTTTTTTTTTATTTTTGGAAAGTTTTATTTAGCAACGATGCTTTAAATTGATCAAAAGATGATAAAGACATTTATAATGTTACAAAAGATTTCTATTTCAGATCAATGCTGTTCTTCTGAACTTTCTATTCATCAAAGAAACCTGGAAAAATTATACTCTGCTGTTTTCAACATAATAATAATAATAAATGTTTCTCCAGCAGCAAATCATATTAGAATGATTTCTGAAGGATCACGTGACACTGAAGACTGCAGTAATGATGCTGAAAATTCAACTTTGATCACAGAAATAAATTACATTTCAACAGATATTTACATAGAAAACAGTTATTTGAAATAGTAAAAATATTTCACAATATTAGCTGTTTTTACTGTATTTTGGATCAAATAAATGCAGGCTTTGTGAGCAGAAGAAACTTCTTTAAAAAAAACATTAAAAATCATACTGTTCAAAAACTTTTGACTGGTAGTGTAGTATAGACAAACTGATTTTCAAATTATATTTCACCATATTTTCGAAACAATTCATCCGTATTTTTAGCGCCTCATCAGCGCCCTCTGTCGGTCGTGTCTCTGTAACTGCAGTGAGAGTCGCTGAACTGAAAGCTTGCGTGGCTTTGTGCCGCGTGTATTTGTCTATTTCAGGAAGAGCAGAAGAAACTCGAGCCCAGCACACTCTGACATGTGAGTCAGAGCATTGACCCGCGGCAGTCTGAGCTTTGTCGGGCTCTTTCGGGCTTTTAAAGCGCCAGTCCGACTGAATTTCCGCATGAGTTCGAGCGCTGGAAGAGAAAGAAGATGATGCTGCGGATCAGAGAGCAGGTCTGTGCTCACCTGATACACACACCTCACCTGTGCTCACCTGATACACACACCTCTGATACACACACCTCACCTGATACACACACCTCACCT